TTTAAAGGTACCTTTAAATTAGTACCTTGAATCGCACCCGGAAGACAACTGGCAACCAGTGCAGACCGCCTAAAAGGGGTGTAACATGGGAGCACCTAGGTGTCATTAGACATCAGAGGATGTCCCGTTTAACGACACCAATTTTTCATGGCAATGCCAGTTCCAACTGTGAGTGGTCCAGTGGCCTAGAGGTGGAGCTCTTCCCTCACAATCGGGAGGCTGTGAGTTCAATCCTAGGTAGAGGCAGATATTTCTCTCTCTGGGCACAATGAGAATATATCTGCTGAATATAACTCCACATTGGTGACAGGAAGGGAATCTGGCCAGTAAACACTCAACTCCATTCAGTTGCCCAGGCTCCACTCCGCAAGGGATTATGGGGTTGTTAAAAGATGATGAATGCCACCCCAACTGTGCACCTTGAAAACCACCTGCCTTTGGAAATAACTGCTTCGATCTCCTTATTCACTGATGCTCGTTTTCCCCCCAGCCAAAGAGTTGGGACAAGGAAAGCCGGATGCTGCCGTCAGACTCCACAGGCCTGCAAAGCTCTCCAAGGACCAGCTTCGCATTGGATGAAGGGCCGATTGCCAAAGGGGGCGTGGGGGTGTTTTCCTCCCCCTCCCCCCCTTTCCTTCCTGGTGCAGGAGAGAGGTACCTGGGTTGAAGAGGACGATTGCTCGCAGGCAGCCCAGCTCTGTCTTGTCCATCTGCATGTCTCTCATCTTCGAGACGAGTTCGGTCAGTACCCTGCAGGGCCCCAGCCACGAGAAGAGAGGAGCTGGCATTACGTTGGCCTTGTCTTGACCCCAATGGCATTTCCCTGCCCCTTTTGCACAATCTCTGGGACCCCCGAGGGCTGTTCGTGGTCCCCTTCCTCACCGCAAAGGCCACGGCTGCATCCCGGGCACAAGAGGGGAGCAGGCAAGGCCGTGCGTGCCCCCTCCACCAGCTGCTGCCCCTCACCTGTCAAAGATGGCACCGACTCCTGCGCTGTGGGCACTGTTCCTGTGGACGTGGAGACCTGTGGCCAGGAGGATCCCATCTTTGACCGCGATGGATCGGTGGGAGAAGGAGGCGATCAGCAACTCGTTCCAACCTGGGGGGAAGCAAAGGGGGGAGAAGTCAGCCAGAGCCCTGCAGGGCAGAGGGGGTGGTCATTACACCCCAGAGCTTCTTTTCAGGAGGAAATCAATATATCTGGGCAGAATAAAATCGAATAACAAACCAGTCTCTCCATGAGATCCAATAGTGGGATAAAGAATTAAAAGCAAATGCTTAAATAGTTAAAATATTGGAAGGTCTGGGAGACCCCAGCCTTTCCCACAGTGGAAACAGGCTCCCATCTGAAAGGGCCCCAGCAAACCTGAGTTTATTCCCACCCAGCCACCCTGCATCCAAGCAGAGTTCTTTCCCAAGGCATTTCAGGGTGGGTCCATCCTCACTAAGGGGGCTTTTTGGGAACAGGAGCTTTGGAAGCAGCAGCCAAGGGAGGGAAAGTCTACAGAAGGCTGTGGATCTGCATACCTGAGGAGCCTCAGCTTGCCTAGTTTAACAGATTAACAGATTCCGAGAGTTGGAAGGGACCTTGTAGATTAGTCCAAACCCTTCCCCCCAAGTAGGCAACCCTACACCAGATCTGTCATATGGCAGCTCAGTCTCTTCTCAAAAGCCTCCAGAGATGAAGCGTTCACAACTTCTGAAGGCAACTTCTGTTCCATGGGTGGATTGCTCTCACTGTCAAAAATGTCTCCTTATTTCCAGGTTGAATCTCTCCTTATTCAGTTTCATTATTCCTTATCTGGCCTTCAGGTGCTTTGGAGAATAGCTTGACACCACCACCCCCTCCTTCCTCTCTGTGGCAGTCCCTCAAATATTGGAAAATGCTCTCATGTCTTCCCTGGTCCTTCTCTTCGCTAGACTAGCCATGCCCAGTTCCTGCAACCGTTGATCAAATGTTTGAGCCTCCAGTCCCCTCATCATCCTGGTTGCTCTTCTCTGCACTCTTTCCAGAGTCCCAACCTCTTTTTTATAGTGTGACCAAAACTGGATGGAGTATTCTAGGCCTGGTCTTACTAAGGCCTTATAGAGCGGAGTTAGTACCTCCCTTAATCTTGATTGTATCCCTGTTAATGCAATTTAGAATTGCATTGGCTTTTTAGGCCACCGCTGGTTCCTATTTAGCTGGTTGTCCACTAAGACTCCAGGATCCCTCTCACAGTCACTGCTATTAAGCCTGGTTTCACCCAGTCTCTATATGTATCCTTTTGGTTTTTCTTACCTAAGTGTAGGACTTTACTTGTCTGTACATTGAATTTCATTTTGTTAGATAGAGTTATGCAAACAGCAATTCTGGCTGTGTGGATGCTGCAATTCCCAGCCCAGACAGCAGTCACAACTGTGAGAAACATCAGGCAGGCAGAAGCCAAGCTGAGGGGGCTCAGGCCTGCTTTCCAGGTCACCCCAACTCTGACCTGCAGCTTCCCCACTCGGCTGTCCTACCTTCCTGCCGGCCCCTCTTCCAGCTCTTTTAAACTTGCCACAGCGGTTTTTTCCTTACATTTGGAGTCTAAAGGAAGTCGCTGGATGTGGGTCCTTCACTCTCCGCCCCAGATATGTGTGCAGAGGAAATAAACAGCCCTTTGAGAGCAATAAACAACTGTCGGACAAGCTGGTGTGGTTGCAGCCTGCAAGTATTGGAACGCTCCAAATTATTCCAGAGGTGTAAAGTGGGACCTGCCTGCCAAGAGGAAGCGGTTGGGAAGTTCGGCCAGCAACTCCTCCGAGCTGCTTGAGGGTCCTCGGCCATAAGGCGCCTTGGAAGGCTGCTCAGGCTTCCCACATTCCCAGATGGAAGGGACTCTGCCTAAGGTGAAGCTCTGCAGGTAAGAGCTGAATAGTCCTCTCGTCCTCCTCCCCATCTTCCTTGCTAGTATTAACTACAATCAAGCCATCAATCAGAATAGACCCAGAAGGGACCCTGGAGGTCTTCTAGTCTAACTCCCTGTACCATTTCAGACAAGTGACGCTCCAGTCTCTTCTTAAAAACCTCCAGTGATGGAACACCCACAACTTCCGGTGGCAATCCGTTCCCCTGGTTAATTGTCCTCACTATCAGGAAGTTTCTCCTTCATCCCAGTTTGCTTCTCTCTTTGATTACTTTCCATCCATTGTTTCTTGGCCTCTGGTGCTTTGGAGAGTAGGTTGACCCCTCCCTCTTCTTTTTGGCAGCCCCTCCAATACTGGAAGATTGCTATCATCTCACCCTTAATCCTTCTTTTCTCTAGGCTGGCCAAACCCAAAACCTGCAGCCGTTCTTCCTACGTTTTAGTCTCCAGGCCTTTGATCATCTTAGTTGCTCTTCTTTGCACTTTTCCCAAAGTCTCAACATTGTTTTTGCAACGTGGTGACCAAAACTGGATGGATTGTTGCAGGTGTGGCCTTACTAAGGATTTATAAAGCGGTACTAACACTTCACATGATTTTGATCCTCTGCCTCTGTTTCTATGCCAACCAAGGACCATATTAGCTTTTTTGGCTGCTGCCTCGGACGGCTGGCTCATGTTTAAGTGATCGTCCACTAGGACTTCAAGGTCCCACTCTGGAAGGAAGGAAAGGCCATATATATGTTTACTGCAAGTGTGACCTCAGAGTCAAAAGTCATTGAAAAGTCAGGCAGCATACAGAGATGGTGTAGGGTCTCCTGCTTGGGCGGGAGGTTGGAATAGATGACCTACAAGTCCCTTCCAATTCTGTTACTCTGTAGAATCTGTACTAATGCAGAGCCTGAATGCTTCCTCAGCTGCCCTGACCATTGAGCACCGTCCCCCATGTTGGGCTGCTTGGCTCCGCGTTCTCAGCTTTGCTGGAGCTCCAGGCTGACTGGCTACTCACCAGCTCGGAGCAGGATCACCTGGTCGTCCAGTGGGAGCTCCGAGAAATGGGGAATCCGCTTGGCCCACTCCACCAGGGTGAAGAGCTGCTTGTCTGCTGCTTGGCAGATGTTGGTGACCGGGTCATTGGGCTGCCGAGAGAAGAGACCCCGCAATGGGCGTCACAGGGCCAAGGCCCTGCCACTCTCACCACCACCCCGCAGGAGCCCTCCACCCTCTCCTGCAATCTCTTTTGCCCCTGAAGTAGAAGGGGGAGGTTTCAACACCTGGATTCTGCGAAGGGGCTGGCCTTCTCCTAATCTTCCTTGGCTGCTGCTGCTGCTTTTGGGCTGTGGGGGCATCTATCCCCCCCCCCCCCGCAAGGGCCCTGGGAGGGGTGAGATGTCCACGAGACAGTTCCTGCCAGCCCTTTCTCTGCCCTTTCTCACACCCTGATCCTTTCAGCTCTGGCAAGGGCATTAAGGAAAGTCATCCCACATCCAGCCTGGCCTCACACGGGCGGGAGCAATGGAGGCT